AAATGCCTGGAATCATATCTGCTTCTCTCCATCCGTTTTTTGTCTCTCGGTCTGCCTGTGCCTGAACATTCTCTGCACGCTCTAGCTGAGACTCCACTAGGAAGACATATCTGAGTGGTTCTGTTCTCTCTGACAGGGCAGATGTCTGTACAGAGTTGCAGAAAGTAAAATTGATGGGTCATTTTATTGTACACTGTAAAATAAGGATGATTAGAAAGGTCAGTCTTGCAGGAAGCTCACTTTCCATTGAAAAAATAATTTGTAATTAATAAATTCTTCACTACTTTAGAATTAAGGTCTCAAGAGACTTTTTTAACATTTTGTGTTTCCTTATTTAACCTGTGGAAGTATTATTCCTCTTAGTCCTGAGAATAGCAAAAGGGAATCAATGGAAAGCTTCTCATCAGGTTAAATGTGCTCTGGATCAGAAATGTCAGAAATGTCCACCTAGTGCACATACTACTGCAATACATGTCTATTTACACAGTAGCACTCACTGGTGATACACGTGTACTCTCGTACACACAGTGTTAGCAGCTGATGCTCAACAACCTAACTGTTTATTTATATACTTCTTTTGTACACACTGAATTGTTTTAGGCCCCAGCAAACTCATTAGGGATATTAAGTGTCTAAATATTAGTTTGATTAAATACAACATAAATTTAGCTGTAGGATAGAGTGAATAGTTCTTAAAGTATTTGTAGATCAATTTAATTTAATCAAATGTGTTACTCTGTGAAACTGAATAATATACTACATGCTTCCTGCATTTTATAGCAACAGCAAAATTTCTTTACAAAATACATACAGAAAAAAGAAACGCAGCACCAACAGCCTCCACGTTCATGGGGTCTTTAAGGATTTGTATGTTATTCTTCCTTATTGCTAGTCTCTGAAATATTTGGAATATCAATTCATGTCATGAATTAGAATTTATAAAACCAGAACTAGTAGAAGAGATTTGAAAGTTACTGAAAATTGCAGGGCTTTCTTACTAGCCTAGAAAAAACAACACTGCAGGCAATTACCTTGGCCCAGTTTCATTGTCTGAAACATAAAATCTGGGAGTAGCACAAAAACAAGGGCATTCCCCTGCAGATTTGCCCTTATTCTCCCCATCTCCATACTCTTCTTCCTGGCAGCCTTTCTTACTGTAGCTACTCGTGCTCCCTGGGGCAGAGGGGCAGAGCAGGAAAGATAATGGTTTGGAAGGGAGGGAGGAACAAGGAGGGAAGACTTGTACCTATTCAGTAGCTCTCCTTTGGGTGTTTAGAGAGAAAAGAGTTATTTTGTAGCTATCATAGCAGAAGTTGTATCTTTGGGAACAGTAGTGCTTGGTGGGTTTTATAACCTTGTGCAGTGGGTTCCAAAATTTCAGGGCCAGTCAGTCTACTACCAGGTTACAGCAGTTCTTGTGGACTGCTGTCCTGCAGCACTTCATGTTGAAGTTTCATTGACAGCACAGTCATTCAGTGTAACTTGGGTGCTTTTTGCAATTTTGATCAGCTGCAGATCATTTTCTGTGGCTGCAAGACCACAGCAGTCTGGGTTAGAACTGTATCTTCATGCTAATTAAATCAAATGGACTTCTGAGGAGACTCAGAATTATTTTGTAGTTGTATAGGAGCCCTCCTAGTGTAGCATTACAAATAGTTTATGCCCTTGCTTCCTAAACATAAAAGATAGGACTCTAAGACAGAGTGGAAGGATAGCGGGGCCCATCTTTGCTACGAACTGTTGGTTATGTTGGCGTCAGCAAATCTCTGGCAGTCGTAGTGGCTGAAGCTTTACTGTTTCAGGGATGCTTGGTGTCACAGAGAAAATCGGTGGCAGAACAAAGAATTGATGCTAGGTTTGAACATCTTTATCTGCAGTAGTGCTAAGTAATCTGCATAAAATCCCTGTTTAGAAAGTAAAGCAGATTTCTATTCAACCAAATTTGGGGGAGAAAGATACGACATTCTGCTCTCATTTGGGCATTTTTGTTAAAATTTCATACGTTATTCCTAGCCTAAGCTCCTCCACCTTCTGTTTCCAGCTTTTGAATCTTGTTGTATCTTTGCTCAAATAAAGTGCCTTTATTGTATGTACTATTCTGCTGCATATAGGGCTACAATGACCTAATTAACCCCTGCACATTTCTTTTTTGAAATTACATTGACTGAGTTTCCCAAGTAATTTTTTATTTCTTCAACCATGATTGTGATACTTCCCTGAATCATCTTCTTCCTCAGGATCTTTTCTGAACAGCTTTCCCACATTAGTCAGACTGATGCCAAAGACAGAGATATTCGTTCATTTCCAGCTCCTTGCATCCCTGTTTATACATGTGCCTTGGTATTGCCAGAAGTGAAATGGTAACAGGCTGGCCCAGGATCCTGTGGGAATGCCTGAACCTTTTGATCTCTAATGGCACAGCGAACTGACTCCTGCACAGGGAATAAATTAGTTCCTTCCTTACTATTCATGTAAAGCAGCTTGCCCAAGTCTGATACCATGCGTAAACACTAAGGCGCTTGAAAACAGCCACTGCTGCAATGCCTGCTGAGGACCCAGAAGCTTTGGCTGTGCCTCAGAGGCAGAGGCTGTGATTGTCCTAACGGGTTTGCAGCTTTTGCAGTTCTTATTGAAGTTCACATGGGTCATGTGCAGTGGTTCACAGGCAAGGTATGGGCAATGTATAAGGCTATTGATGTGGTTTATGCCACAGATAATTCCTGACCTTAAGGGGCTTATAGCTGATACTGACGGGTCTTGTAAAAGCTGGTGGGGAGAGGAAGCAAAGAGTAGGACTCTCGTTTGTATGGAATTTTCCAAAAGATGGAATTTTCCCATGTGCTAGAAGACATCTGTCCCAGGATGAAATATTTTGTCTCACTCCAGCTTTGGTGACTGAGATGAGGTATATTTTGGAGGCACAACAAGGAACTATTATCCTGTAATCCTGTCTGTGATGTTTTCCTTAGTGTACCTTTATTAGCCTGCCAAGGAGCTCATTCCCAGAAAGCTAATGTAGATGAGAAGAAAAGTTTGACACGTCTTTAGCTTTTTCTCCAGGAGCTGGTGTGTACAGGAACATGTTAATTATTGAATAATCCATGCAAGAATCCTGAATACATTAGAAGAGGGAAAATACATGACCTCCTGACTCCCTGCATGCATCGGAGGGTGACAATTCATTTAATTATGCACCTTGCTTGCAAGGGTCTGGTCTGTGGCACAAATGTTCTGCTGAGCATTGAATGGACTTGTGATGTAAGTGTCAGAGTCGGGTGTCTCAGAGTGACTTTTAGATACAGTCAAATGCAGAAAGAAACTTTCCTGTTGCAGTCTGGATTCCTTAGTACGTATTAGGGTTACAAAATCAAACAACACTTATCTGCCTCATGCTAAGGATATTCTGTCTCCTATTTTTAAGTAATAAAATGTGTGGCAGAGGGTATGGCACTCTGTCTGTGAGCCCTGGAAATGATCTCACCACCTGTCAAAGTCAACCTAGATCGGTGGAAAGAGGTGCTTTCCTGGGCTTTTCTGCAAAGAAAAGATTCTAAGTGTTTGGGGTTTGTGACATCCATCAGTAAAAAATGCAGTAGAAATTAATAGAATTGCATCTTAATTGAAATAAAAAACCAAAATACTCCTACGGGCAATGACAAACATGCTGTTCTTGTTCAGCTGTCTCAGTAAATACCAGTAAGCAGCTCTGTCAGATGCACAGGCCTTTGCTGAGTGCACAGTCCCATAGAGAGAGGCAAATTATGTGACGACTGAGAGTAGCAAGCTGGTTTTGAGTAGTTTGGTACATCTAAATAGGTGCTGAACTGTATGAGCCAACAACCAAATGCTCTGCCTGAAGATCAGCAGCTTGGAAAGCATTGTTCTGAATAAAACAAGGGGAACAAAACGTAGTTTGTGTTCAGGGTATGACAGTAAGAGGCTGGGAAGCTGCAGCTAGCAACATTCAAGGATGTGTCTGTTGGTTTTGTGATGATCAAAGGCTTTGACAGGATTAACTGATGTGTTTATCCACTCCCTGTTTGTAAGAAAGTATTCAACATTTTACAAGCAGGTAGAAAGTTAAAGGTACTTCCCCTGAAGTTAGTACTATATGGGCAACCCCACACATTTTCTAGGCCTCCATCACCACCTCTCACCTGCTGTCCTTTTGTCTACTGCAAAAGGCAAGGTATTTTTTCCTATTCTATAGCTGGGGAAACTTAGTGGAGATGGGTGTGGTGGAGCGAGCAGCTGCTGTGACCAGGACAACGTCAACAGAGTGGCAGTCTGCTTATCTTTACCATTTGCTTTCTCAGAAGGCTACTTGGATTGTTGTAAGCCAAAACCCTCCTAGAGCATTCACTGATGAGCTCAGCTATCTCTGGATAAGACAGGAAAAGCTTACCACTTTCCAGTTCTGGATAATTGGCTCTTACCTGAGCAACAGGAAGGGGTTTAATTCTTCCTTTTGTTTTCACCATATAAGGGGCTAACCAGCGCTGAGGTCCCACAGGTATCACCCAGTATTCTGTGTGACCAGGGCAAGTCATGCTACAGAGTCTAGGCTTCACTTAACTAGTGAAGCACAAGGCTAACACACAACTTGTCCTTGTGCCAGGCTGGCAGTGCCAAAGGCACTCTGGACTCTAGACACAGCCTTCATCTTGAGGAAGTGATGGAGGGAAACAGGAGCCCTTCAGAGTTCCAGCTGGGTATATGCTACAATAGAAGAGGTTTCTGTAGTCTGCTTTCCAGGCCTTAGCCCAACAGAGATGGGAAAAACCCTATTAGGTCCAAGTGAATCTGTCTCTTCAGGTAGATTGTCCTGCATGTCTTTAGGATAAAGTACTGGTTATAACACAAGGCTGCTAGAGAGAGGGTGTACTTTCTGTAAGTTTCCCATGCTTGCAACCTAAGCGTAGCCAAATTTGAGCCATAACTAGCCCCAACTCACCTTTTAACTACAGTGCCTTCTTTTCTTCTCTTTTTGGTCTCTAAAGCCAGCACTAGCCCTACATCAGGCCTTGGGACTGCTGCCATTGTAGGCATTCTCATTGTTATCTTTGTGCTGCTCCTGGTGGCTGTGGATGTCACCTGCTACTTCCTGAACAAATGTGGCCTGCTGATGTGCATTGCTGTCAACTTATGCGGCAAATCCGGCCCAGGAGCCAAGGGCAAAGACATGGAAGAGGGTAAAGCCGCCTTCTCGTGAGTACTGTCATCACTTATATTGCTCCTTCTGTTGATCAGTATGTCCCCTCAGCAACTCCAGGAAAGAAACTGGTTTAGGGAGTTCCAAGTTCCTCATCTCTCATGGGAGGGTACTGAAAAGATCTGGGGCCACACTGGTTCTCCTTTATATTTCCAGGAAGGGGTTTCTTCAGCTGTTTCTCTGGTTTTGTCCTATTCCTGTTAGTAGCCATCAAGTGGCTGGCCCAAATGGTCTGGCTGACCCAGAAAACAGTGGTCTTCTGTGCTGTAGGTAATAACTGGAAGAGGGAGTGACAAAAAGAAGCAATCTGCTGTTTAGGCCAGTCCGTTTCTGTCATTCACTATCGACATTTGCAGCATGTCTTTGCAGGAGGATACCTAGTGTGAATGGGAACCAATCTCCATGCAATTCCCTTGTTACAGGAAAGATGAGTCCAAGGAGCCTATTGTGGAGGTGCGGACTGAAGAGGAGCGGACCCCCAATCACGATGGGGGAAAACACACAGAGCCCAATGAGACCACCCCGCTGACGGAGCCAGAGTATGTTAGCATTAGTCAATCTTAGCACAGGGTCAATACATTGCCTTCAGTTGCCTTAATCCTTGATCTCTCATGCCCATGACTTAGGGCAGGAAGAGAGAAAGAAAGGTAAAATCTCCACACTCCACTTGTGACATACCTGTGAGGAAATGCCTCTTCTCTTCCCCAAGATTCAGTGACTCTTATTTCCAGCACTGGAAGGGAAGTAAAGCAATGTTTCTTGAAAGGCCTGTCTCTGCCAGTCCTGTCCAACGTGTAGATCAGGCACCTGTCCAGGTTCACTGCAAAGGATCCAGAGCAAAAGCAGCCCCCAGCTAGCACCGACTTATGCTTGAGCTCTGCCCTAGCAATGCTGGATGAGTGCTTGAACACCCCATGGTGAAAGGAGTCCTCTCTAGTGATAGCAGCAGAGTAGCTATGCTCTCGATGTTGGAGGAGGCATGGCAAGTCTGATTATTCTGTAAGAGGGCTGAGAGCTACCTACGAGTTTTGTTTATATTGGAGAACTTGTTTGGAGCCAGAGTCTGTGAATCCATGTTAGCTGGGATTAGCAAGGTTTTAAGTATTGCCCACTGTCTACGTTAAGCTCTTTCCTAAACTGCTGCAGTTCTAGTGTCCTCTGAGTACTTCTCCATAGCTTCTGGAGTGAGTAATGGGCGGAATTCACTTTAGGAAGCTGCTGAAATGCTTGTTAATATTTAGGTCAGGTTTGGGATTGATGACACAAGTTGGGTTCCTTTCCTTCAGCAGAGTCATCACAGCGGTGAGGTGGTCAGGCTCTACCACCTGCATACTGCTCACCTCCTTTGATAAGGTCAGCAGTGGGGCCCACTGGTAAAATGGCTCTGCTGGAAGTCTCTGTGAGGTGAGAGGAAAAAAGAGGCTATGTCCATAAGCAGCACTGAAGTGCGGACGCGCAGCACTGAGGAATAGCTGGGATTTTTATTGTCCTGATTTTCTTGGCTAGTCTTACCAGAGTTTTAACTCAATTATCCTCCTCTATGAAGGTTTTCTCTCTGTTAATAAGCCTGAGATGGTGTTCTCAGGCACACTGGCTTCTCATGGAATAAACCATTTAATTTTCCAGCCTCGCATCTGTGTACTTGTTAAGGCAACCAGTGCCACATCATGGCTGCTAAAGCGTAGTTACACTGTAAGACATTGTCCTAAAGCAAACGTTATTCCAGCTAACACAGCAGGCTGGAATCTGATCAAAAGGGGAGAAAGCGTCACCTCAAAGCTGCAAGTATGTATGTGTATGTACATATATATATGCATTACATGTGAGTGTGAGAAGAAGAATTATATTCTGTATGGTTTGATGAAGGCCTTGGACTTGCAGGCAAAAGGACAGGGCCAAGATGAGGGACTGGATTCAGGGGTCCTACACTGGGACCCTGTTGCGTGGTGACAGATGGCACAGGGCTGCAAACTCAGGGAATTGGCAAAATTCCTTGTGAGGTTAGGTGGAAGAGGCTGAGAGGAAAGTTAGTCTAAAAAAGAAGAGTCTCTGCAAGTTGACAGGGTTACGTTTGGTTAAGACTTGAAGCAAAATCCGCGTGAGCAAGCCGTTCCTGAAGGACGTGTCCTCTTTGCTCTTTTTCTCTTCCTAGTTATTCTTCAGTCATCCCAGCCAGCCCTTGCTACCCTTTGCTCATTTGACCTCTGAAAGGTTTCTGCTCCTCTGAGTACCTCTCCATGTTGTGTGTGTGCATTGTAACCACATGCCATGCTGCTGCTGTGCCACCCACCTGCCCTCTCACTCTTACGCTCTGCTCCCCTTTCCCCTGCTGGATTTACGGGCTTCATTGTCTCTATTTCTCTTCTACTCCTGTCCTCTTCACAGGCACCCTGCCGATACTGCAGCTACTGTTGAGGACATGCTGCCTTCTGTAACTACAGGCACCGCTAACTCTGACACTATCACTGAAACCTTTGCCACTGCTCAGAACAGCCCCACCAGCGAGACCACTACGCTGACCTCCAGTATTGCCCTGCCAGCCATGGCCATTCCTGACTCAAACTCCATGTCGCCTGGCCAGGCTACTCCAGCCAAAGGGGCAGCCATCTCAGTCTCTTCACCACCACCCTCCTCCACCCCCAAAGTGGCCCCTCTTGTTGATCTCAGCGATACCCCAAGCTCTACTCCAGCTACTAATAATTTGTCTTCAAGTGTCCTGTCCAACCAAGGTGCAGTGCTCAGCCCCAGCGCTGTTGCTAACGTGGCCGAGACCTCCAAAGTGGCAGCTGCCCCAAGCCCTGCAAACCTCACTGGCCCTCCAGTTCCATCAGAGCCCAAGCAGGAGGTCTCAAGCACCAAGAGCCCTGAAAAGGAAGCTGTGCAGCCCAGTTCAGTGAAGAGCCCAACAGAGACAACGAAGAACCCAAGCAATCTGAAGAGCGAGGCTGCTTCAGGCAGCACCACAAACCCCTCACAGAATGAGGACTTTAAAATGGACGAAGGGACCTTCAAGACATCAGACATTGATCTTGCAAAGGATGTTTTTGCGGCTCTTGGCACTACTACTCCTGCCAGCGTGACTAGCGGGCAAGCTCGTGAGCTTGCTTCTTCTACTGCAGACAGCTCTGTACCTGCTGCACCTGCAAAGACCGAGTATGGCTGCCTTTAATCTTCTGTTGGTTGTGTGCTGTGTCTCTTGTGCACTGGTGCGTGCTGTGTTCTTGTTGCGTGTTCTCTTAACTAATCTCATTTTCTTAGCAAACTAACTCACCTGTGAACCAACTAAGCAGGGCTTGGCTTTAAAGGTCCAGGAGGAAAGCAGGAATAGCTGTGCCAGGGAAGCAGGGAAAAGACAAACCCAGGAATTAGCATATATGTGTTATTCTTTAGACTTTTATGCAGCTTCGTCTATTGTAGGTTATTCTTTTAAGAAAGAGATCAGAAGCAGTTCAGTTTGATGCAAAGGAAGCGCTGTCCTTAGAGGCGCTGAGTTCCTGCAGTTCAATGAGCACAGCCACCCAAATTCAATTTCCTAACAGATCAGTGAAGCCCTTCAGAACTCATTTCAGTGTAAGGCAGGGCAGAAACTAGTGCCATGTGAAACTGTAAAGGCATGGTACCTCTAGATTTGTCCCTAAACTGGCAAAAGGATAAGGCAATGTGATCCTGTCTGAGAGAGGGGGAGCAGTCATAGCACAGTTGGGTCAGGATAACTTGGCAGTGTGTTGTCCTGGTATATTAGAGATGAGTGTCTATCCACTGGACTGGGTCTCCTCTTTACCCAGCTGATTTTTTCAGAGAGCATCAGCATGTTCCTAGGCAGGACAACCCTAGAGGTCCTTTGGAGCCGTATGCCATCTGGACAGGATCCACTTTCCTCAGCTGAATTGAGTCTGCATCTTGTGTTTGGCAGGAGATACTGTAACTGGAGAGTGAAAACAGCATGAAGTCCTCACCTGGGTAACTGTGGGGAGGGTCCCCAGCTGTTGTACAGGTCTTGGACAAGAACGCTCTTACTGTGTCGGTTTGGATGGCCGTTGCTGACAGAGCCATGAGCACAGAAGCCTGGAAAATGCTGATTGAAAACGGATAGCCACCCTTGAGGGGACAGGTACCTAAGGTCCCTGTTCCTTCTGGCTTCTTATTTGGATAGAGGCAGGATGAAATAGGAGGAGTATCTTGTCTTTCCTGGCCAAGCAGGGTCTGTGCTTTATCACAAGAGAGAGTCCTGAAAAGGCAGCTCAGATTTGTTGTGAGAGCAGCTCCCAAAATCAAAAGACTGAGTTCACACTGCATCTTTTAGCTTTTGCAAAGGAAAGTATATTGAGGACACTGGGCTCTGCGCTGTCAGCTAGATTGCTGCCAGGAACCTGAGGTTTACAGCTCACTCAGATAAATCTAGGCTATGCTATAGCAACCACACTGGAGACATACCCTAAGTCACAGCTTTGGTTAGAACTTTTTCCATCCTCACATCTCCAGGAAGATTACCTCATTCTGGAAGTGCTGTATTTAATTCAAAATAAAGCATTGGCCTTGATTGGCTTTGACACTGTGATTGCAATGTGTATTAGCACTCACAGAAGAGCAGTCATTCAGACACTGTAGAACTGAGAACCAGACTCTTTTCCAGATCTGAGTGAAAACCCATGCTGGTTTACTGTATTATTCAGGTGCCTTTACATCTCACGGCTCTGGTCTCCCTATCTCCCTGCTGTGCTCTTGTCCTCCCCTAAGTCAGGAGACATTCCTGCCGTGTGACTGTTCCACAGCACTGCCTTGTGCCCCACACAGCTATGGAGCATCTGGCCCTTCCTGGAAAGCCTGGGTGACATAGCAGATGCACGAGGGTTGGAGGGAACCAGTCAGCCTTTATGGGTGCAACTGGGCTGCTCCCAAGCAGAGAAATCCATGTTCACTTCAGTTCACTGCAGCTAAAGCCACTGCCCTGTCATGCTGGGTGCTACAGAGAGACAAAGAGAATAGCGAGTTGTGATCTGGTACTGAGCTGAAAGTTTCTGTAGGAAATGATTTGCCTATAGTAAGGAAACATTTCAACCGAATTAATGCAACTTGGTCTGTGTCACATAAATGAATTCTTGGTATGGTGGAATGCAGAGCCGTGTTCTTTCTGCCGATCCAGCCACCTTCTTCTACCTGTGCTGCTCATCTGCTTCCCTTGGGGCAAATCAGTGTTGCAACCATAGGCTTAGATTCATCTCACCTGCTCGTCAGGGTGAATCAAGATTGCAGTCATCTCAGACTAAGTTTGTGGCTAATGGGCTGGAACAGGCCTCCTTCTTCAGGGAGGCCACCAGATATACCTTGCGTGGCACTTTTCGTGACTATGAAGAGAGCGTTGGACAAACAGGCTTCTCTGATTCTTCAGTGAAGTGCCAAAGACAGGCTGATGAACCTGAGCTTCAGCCTGTGAAGATATTGACCTCCCTTACACTTCTGAAAATGTTTGACAAAATTCACTGCTTTCGTGTTTCCCTTCTTGCAAATTCCCTTCTGGGAAATTCTGGGACTGATTTCCTGCAGGGAAAAAGATTTTCTGCTAAAATGGCAGTCTGTTTTAATAAGACATTTGGATGACATAAATGAGTGATGGTAAAATCAAATTCCTTTGCAACTGTGTGAGTTTTCCCTTTTGCTCCTTTTTTCACACCACAACACGCCTTGCACCTCTGCTGCAGCCTGAGACCTCATCCTACTAGTATGTTAACTCAGGGCAGGAGGAAAATCAAAAAAGATTTCACTAGAGCTAAATGAAGCTGGGGTGGGGGGTGAGTTTGGCTTTACTTATTTCTGCATCTGGAAATGCTCATTTTGCTCTAGCAAGGCGATATATTTGCTTGTTTCCAGAAACACGTTCTTTCCTTATCGCTAATTCAGCAATAGACAGTCTATATTTCTCTGTCTCTAAACTATGCCATTTTGGTGATTCTTCTTCAGGAAAATCCCAGTAGAAGACAAATCTGAAGTGCAAGCAACGGAAACTAAGACACCTCCAGCAGAAGTCAAGACGGTCCCCAATGAAGCCACACAAACAAATGAAAATGAGAGCAAAGCATGATCAGCGACAGATGAAAACAAATGACAGAACAACTTCACCCAAGCATTTAAAACACAAAACACAACACACATCTCATTCCTCTAGTGTCTGTTGCCTTTTTTTAAAAAACAAACAAAACAGGAAATGCATAAATGGGGGGAGGGGGGAATATCTCTTTTTCTTTTCTTGTCTTCTCTTTTTTTTTTTTTTTTTTTTTTTTTTTAAGATTTCTAGAAAGGTTCTATTTGTTGTGCACTTGCTTTTAAAAAGTAATACATTTTAAAAACAGGGTTAAACCCATAACCAAATCAGGGCTTAGCTGACTCTGTGTGTATTCAACTAAGCAAAATTGCAAATACCACTTGCAAGGTTGGGAAGCTCAAAATCAACTAGTCCTAGACAGGGGGGAAAAAAAAAAAAAGACAAAAAAAAAAAAAAAAAAAAGACCCTGTTCTTTCCTTCATTAGTATAGCAGATATAACCACTGTACTACTTGGTACAGCTGGTACTTAATGAACAAAGTCCACAATTTATTTTTATACTTTTCAATCGAGTTTGAAATATGTAAAGCCTCATAAATAAGTTATAATTTCTGTTCACCTTGTATTTGTTCAGTATGCAAAGTGTCCTGAGCTCTTTGTGACTGAATTCTGTTCTCCATGTTAGACATTTATTTGGGGTTTACTATTATCTTTTTTTAGGAAGAATGCCAAAATTGCAGCTTCGGGGATATATTTCAATTTGCAGTATTCAGACTCTAAATTTCTTTAAATTTTATTTTAATTTTTGCCAACTTTTGTTCTTTCCAGTGTTTACAATTGACAAATTTTTTTAAAACTTTTGTTGTGTTTAATGTATGTGTAAAATAGCTGCCTTTTTTTTTTTAAGTAAATACAGTCTATAGATACTAGGTTAGCAGCATGCTTGCTTTGCAAAGGGAGACATTTTAAAACATGGATGTTTACAGTAGTTGTTTCCCCTTTATCTCTTCTTAATTATTGTTGTTGTTGTTGTTATTATTATTATTATTATTATTATTATGATTTCTTACTGGAGTAAGAAGAAAAGTAATGCTGAGGTTTGGTTTGGTTTTTTCGGGGTGGGTGGGGGGTATTCAAACCACTTGTCACCAATCAAGGTCTTTATCCAGCAATCCACATAAACATACGCTTAACTTGGAATGAGAGAGTTGCTGGTGAGAGTCCTTCTATACTTAAATTTAGTAAAAGTTTAAGTCCCTTGCTGGACCTGGGCCTGACTGCATAAGAGAAATATCATCTCTGCTTTTTTAGGACATTCTCCCCTTTCCTTCATGGAACCCTCCTGGAGCTTTGAGAAGCAGAAGGGAGATTGTACAGGTAGGGCTGGTCTGGTCTCATCTCAGATATTTGACTATATCAATTCCTCCTTAGTATGTCAGTAAATACCATTTCCTTTGACCCTAGAAATCTGGTTTAAAAGCAAAGCCTTTTTGCACAAGGGTGCTTGGCAGCATGCAAGACTCCTCCTGCAAAGCCGGCGCCATCAGCAGTTGGACTAGATGATCGTTGTAGGTTCCTTCCAACTGAACTATTCTATTCTGTTTTATCACATCATGTGTATTGAGTCATCCATGTATGCTCTGCAGAATCAAAACCATTAAATCAAGAGCAAGTGCTTGGAAATCAATGCCAAGACTCTCATTGATTTCACTTTGTCTTGGCATTGTGTCTTTAACAGTCGGAAAAGGGGGCTGATGTAGTACATGTATTATCATTATGGAGGGGGGAGGTTATCATTGGGAGTCATGGAGTAACACTGAAAAGAAAGAAGACTTGAGCAGAAGGAAGGCAGAGGTATATAGGGGAAGACCAGCCCATTGTATAGAGATGTTCCTTCTGTTGGGGTTTTGGGGTTTTTTTCTCTTTTTTTTTTCTTTTGTTTTCTTTTTTATTCTACTTTAGATCTGCAAGCTTGTGCACTGTGGGTGCGTGACTATTTTAGTGTGAAATGTGTTTTTTGTCATAGTATTGAAATAATAAAAGCTTTGACATAGTTTGGATGTGGAAGGTGTAGCGATAGTTCAGATTTGAAAAAAAAAATATTCAGGAAAAAAAAAAGAGAACAACTCTTATAAGGAGCAGAAGCATTTAAATGAAAAATCAAACCGAGCTGACTATGGCATCCATTCTGTTGCGCTAAGGTGATAAAGAGAAGGATAATGGGGGGTGGGTACACTGCAAGTTTGGCTCAGGTAAACTGAGCCACTTTTACCAGTGTATTCTTCTAAGTATGCAGTCTTTTACAGTGGCATCACATAATTTCAAACTGTGAAAAATAATGGTCTTGTCATTTGCTAAGTGTGGGGTTTTTTGCATTTTTTCCTTAGCTCCTGGGATGCAAATGGAGGCTGACTGGATATGCAGGCATAGACACTCATGCAATACCCATCCTGAGCAGGGTCTCAGGGCAGGATGGGTCCTCACTTCAAAGCCTTGTGTCAAATTCAGCCCTTGCATGACCCATCACAGCAGCATCATTATAACTATGGGGAAGTTTGGCCCACTAGGATTTTTTAGTCCCTAGGATTTTTTTTTCTAAGAAGTCAATCCATAAAATGCAGCACAAAAAGCTACCATGGTCTGTCTATGGTTGGGGAGAGTCCTTGGGGCAGCGGAGGACTAGTGGGCAGGCAGTGTGTACCTCCATTCCTGTGGATTACCACAACAATTTGTTCCTCATTTCTGCGAAGTTTTTGACTGCTTTTGTCATCTGTATGTTATATCTCCTAAGTTATAACCCACTGAGAGCTGAGCAGCTGATAGGAAACAGATGCTGTACAATGCTAATGACCAGAAGCATGTCCAGTGACACTGGTCAGCACCTGTTGGGTGAAAATCTAGGTGGTAACTATCACCTGGATTGGCATTTCTGTCATAAAAGGTAACCAGCTCAAAGCCCGATCCAACACCCTGCTGCATCATTAGAAAGTACCCTGCTGACTGCAGTGGGTTTGTGTCGAGATCAATGGAGTGAGCACCATTCCAAGGCAGAAGTGAACCCTGTGATTGCCTGAACACTGGGAGTCTCCATCCAACTCCTTTTTAATGCCCTAGTGACACCTCCCAACAGTTGTAAATTTAATTCTGGAGAGTGGTTTTATACTCTCCCTCAATGGAGAGTATTTGTTTTAAGTTCGAAGTATACCATTTCAAAGATAGCTTAGGCTTCATTGCTTTTATTTAAACCTTTGAAGAGGGACCAACCTGATGCCGTTTACGCTGTATATGTTTATATATGTATCCATACCACACATATATATCTATATGGCAATGCAGACGGATCAGCTTCTAGTTGTGGAGTGATTACATTTCATGCTGCACCATACGTAAAGATGATAAGATAATAGTGCATCCAGTTGTTCAGCTTTTAGAGTGGAGTTTTATTTTCACACTTTTCTATGGAGCCTTCAAACCCCAGATTTTCACACTAGGCTGTTTTGATAGTTGTTCTCAGACCCTCCATTGACATCCTTACCCAGCATTCCCTACTTTTGGGGGCCTTGTATCTTGTTAAAAAAAAAAAAAAACAAAAAATCTTTTTACCAAGTGAAACATCAATTCCACCTTTATTCCCATTCTCACTGATGTAAATACTGATACTAACTGAGGATTTTGACTTTGCATTCTGTCAGAATACTGTGTTCAAATAAAGATTACAAAAAAAGCTCATGGGTACAGTCTGCCCTTCTTTAGATGCTCTGCTAGGTTCTGTGTACAGACATGGATTCCCAGGGCTGGATTTGCATGTCAGCTTAATGCGGAGTGAGCAGTTCCATTGTGGCATGCCCACAGCATGAGTTAAGCATCTGTCTGAGGCTCTGGGCTGTAGACAAGCAGGAAATGCAACTGTCTGCACTGTGACTTAGTGAAGCAGTCATGCTGCATGGTTCAAGCTGGTACATCTCTGAACAGTGGGCAACTGCAGTGCCTTTCCAAACTTCAGATGTGCAGAAAGGAGACCTGCCAGCACGTGATTCCACTGACGGGCGCTTCCGAAATTCTGAGAGTCACAAAGAGGAGTATTTTTAAAGTTTGTTTCTCTGTCCCACTGTAGATCATTTCCTTGAGATAACTAACACACAAATGTAGTTTCGTGTCCACTGTGAATGAGGGACGGCTGGATTTCCCATAAAAAGGCACTCCACTGTTCACTGGCTATGGAAGGAGGGAGAGAGGGGGTGTGTGCATGTGACTGTTGGCTTTAAAAGGTGTCCTTAACCCATCCTGAATTGGGTGCCTGAACTTGATTAATGTGGGATGAATCTAATTAAATTTAATTCGGTCCTAAGCATTGATCTTCCAGGACACGGAAGGAGAAATGAGAGCTCTGATATGTATCAATACTTGGGTGCCAGAATTGTTCACAGAAAAAGAAAAAAGTAAATGTATTGAGCTAAAGTACTTGTTATCTCTAGAGAATACCCTTCTCCTTTCTGCCTCTTCTCCAGTGCTTTGCCCTGTATTCTTGGCTGCTGTTTACACGGTGGTAAGACAGTATTTCAACAAAGCTGCTGTGATTGGCCCCACATGTCTTTGGTACTACTGCTTTAGAAAAGGCTGTCCCAGGAAAAGGGACAGGAAAAATGCACAGGAAACAATCCATCTTCTTGGTGGGTTCTTTCATGCAGTGCGTCTGTCACTGCAGAATTCCTGTTGAATTCATGTTCCAGATTCATGCTCTCAGCTCCCTTATAGCTGTCATTCTTCTTTCATTGGAATTCCTGACTTCCCTCTCCTGACTCTTTCTTTTACACAGTTTGTGGACTTTTTCCAGCCTGCTTTTTTCTTGAAAAGAACTCCTCCTTATTCCAGTCAGTGGCATACAGAAGGCAAAATGGTTCTGTATTCAGATACTGATTTCTGCTTTGTTATACTGCACGTTTGCAATATCGCATCTTTTATGAGAACCCACTGTGAACAATGGAGAGTGGGTGGATGTGGTACAATGTCAGTCCTCGACTAATATGCACACATGCAATTGTATTGTACAGCTTGCTTCTGCAGGAAAGTTGGAAAGTCAAAA